AGCTTTTCTGGGTCTCGAGTTGAAAGTGGGTGACAAAAAGTGCGAACACACAGAAACACACACACACATGCACACACACATGCACACACACACACACACACATACACACACAGCCTCCTCCCAATATGCGTTTTTGCATTTTACCTATATGCAAAAACGCATAAAAAGTGAAAGTCAAAAAATCAAAACTTCTCGTGATCACACTACGTGAGAGGCAAGATGTTCGAGAAATAACCAATGTGATAACAAGTGCCAATAGCAAGCAAGCGTAGTGTGGTCTGCAGGAGATCCTGGTGACAAAAAATCATGATAAAATTCAAAAAGAGTACTGCTGTGGGATTGCAGCGGCAAAGACATAGAGCTATTTAATTTCCAGAAGCTTTCTATTGGAGAACAGCCCCTTTAAGGAACGAAACGAAAGTCAGAATCGCTGGCAGGTGGTTGACTAATAGGCGATGCAAACATTAGTCGAAGTTAACGAAAAGTTGCAAGCTCTTAATTGGGGAACCAGACTATGAACTGAACCTGTTTCAACTGATCCATGTATTACATGGAAATGTTTATTGAAGGTGGTGGTGGACGACACGTGGACGAAAATTGTGCAGCTTCATTCGGCACCAAACGGTCGAAGTGCTTCACATCGTGACAGCTTCACAAGCATCGTCGTCGGAACAAGACAAAGGCGACAAGCAAACAAATGCCGTAGGTTTTCGCCACATTTACGTAGTTCCATTTGTTTCATTCGGTATCTTATTTTACTTGAGAAGTACCCTTCGTCAAATCTGTCGCGGACAGCGAGAACTGGGAATTCAACGCTACTTATGGTTAGCAGCATTTGACGTTACCAATTCGTAGTAGTATACAAGTGGTGACTATTAATTTGCTAAGTGAGGCACGAGAGACGGTGGCACAGTGGATGGCACGCCACGATTCGAATAATTCGAAGGACAGTGAAAATGAGCGATTCGTTTCCTTCTGAACTCATTTGCGAAAAAGGTTTCCGTTTGCGACATAATCAACCTTTTTTTGTTGCAGGTTGTGGTGAACCAGTAAACAACTGTCCACCAGGCCCACCAGGCCCACGTGGAGATAGAGGTGAAAAGGGTTTAGATGGACCACCCGGGAAAGACGGCACACCCGGGGTAGCTGGCGTAACGCTGTTGGCCACGCATGACATTCCTGGCGGATGCATTGACTGCCCTCCTGGACCGTCTGGACCACCAGGGCCAATTGGAGTGGATGGTGATCACGGACTGCCTGGGCGCAGAGGACCCCCCGGCAAAAATGGAAAAACTGGGTCGAAAGGACCTCCTGGAGCATTGGGCGAACCAGGTGAACCAGGGCCAGATGGGCCACCGGGTAAAGTAGGACAGGAGGGGCGTGATGGCAAACGGGGCTCTGGAGCACCAGGGTCGAAAGGACCAACTGGTACTCGCGGACCACGAGGTGAACCAGGAACGAATGGTGAGAATGGTAGCGATGGTGAAACTGGAGAACAAGGTCCGGCTGGCCGTCCTGGCAAAGACGGTAGCTCCGGAAAAGATGGACGTCCTGGACCGGTTGGTTTAATTTTTTCCATCGCTAGCAAAGCAATGAACCTGTATTCTTGAGAAAAAAATTTGGCGATTGAGTGCAAAAATCCCTTTTGTGCAGATATCTACTTTTCAGCCGCTGGTTGGATTCTAGTTAGCAGTGATTTAGAGTTTGCTTATCTAACTGTGCATCTGGCAACTTTTCCAGTTGGCTTGACCAATGCTGCATCATCTAATGGTCAGCTTTTTGGCAAAACCTGGAAATCGTTTCAGAAAGAACATGTTTCTGGTTTTTGCCGCAGAGAAGGCACAGAAAGGGTTGAAATACTTATTGCTTCTAAAGTGATCTTATAGCGGGGATGAAAAGGAGCTCGCGTGTTGCTTTGCATGTAGGATTTAGGGACAGAGTAAAGAAGGGGAACGAGGACACAAGTTAGAAGCATCGAGGCAAGAACTGAAGATGCAGCAAAGAGAAAGAGAAAACAAAGTATACAAAAAAAAGTAAATGAAAGTAAATCCAGGCGTACTAATAAAAACAAAGTCAAGAAAGAAAGTGAACCCATAAGTGGAGTCAAAAAATAAAAGCAAAGAAAATAATTGACCAACGCACGAGCTGTCCATGCGAAGATGCATTTTTTGCATAGCTCCCCGCAGATTTTTGTCGCTGACGGCACTGATTTTTCCGGCAGATGCTTCTAGCTAAAAGAATTTCAGACTGGCTGTCAGGACTGTTAAGAAACATCCCTTCAAAATTCCAACCTACTAGCTTCTCAGATTCCCGAATCAGCGGCTTACCCGAAAAAAATTTTGGCGGGTCTGTAGGTGGGTACCACGCCTACCCGGGGTCTGGGTTTGAACTCATCAGTACCTACCTGGAGTGGGAACGTCCTCTTAAAATTTCAGCCTCCCAGCTTTTCTCGTTCCCGAGTTAGCAGTTTACTTGTAAAAAACTTTAGCGGGCTCCTACGTGGGTATCACGGGGGTAATAATGCCGATTTTGAGGATGCGAGCCCGTACGTGCATGTAGATTAGGTTCTCAAAATTTCAGCCCCGCAGCTTTCGTAGGTCTCGAGATTAAAAATCGGTACAGACGAACACACAGACACACACATACAGACAACCCCTCGTCAATATGCGTTTTCTGCATTGCATAGCTGCAAAAAACGCATA